AGGCATCGCTTAGAGTAGCATAAGCCAGACAAGCGAGGATTAAAAGAAAAGAATAAAATACTCTCCTCCTATAAATGTTGCATCTAAAAGGAAAACACCTACAGTACAAATGCAATAAGCACATATGCAATTAGGTCAGCTGCAAATATAATAACCCTGTCCATGCCTTTTCATCGCTAATCACAGTGACAAATTAGTGTCTTTAGTAAATAGGCTACTGACAGTAGTTTTTAAAATGCCCAAAGAGGGTTTGCGCTGGAGCAAGCAGTTAGCAAATCTGGCCCTAAAGCTCATTACAAGTTAAAGAGCCCATGACCAAAGAGGCAATTTGTAATATTTCTTCTTGGCTAAACTATGGACTACTTAAATGACTTTGTAATCTTTTAAAGCTTGAAAAAGTTAATAAATAAATGAAGAGTTCAGATGCAAAAGCCTCTAAATGCCATTTGAAATTTTCTTCTTTAATGATGATTTTTATCAAACTTGTATATTTAAGTTCAGTAATTTCACTTAAATAACAATTAATAGGTAATTATCATTGCCATTTAAGTGAAATTACTGAACTTAAATATACAAGTTTGATAAAAATCATCATTAAAGAAGAAAATTTAAAATGGCATTTAGAGGCTTTTGCATCTGAACTCTTTAAATAATCTTTGTTTTCAGCATTTAAGGACAAGATTAATAAAAAAGCTCTGCCATTTTTAACACATCTAGGTTAAAAAGAGTTTATTTGTCTGTAGTTAATAATTGGCAAAAAGTCATTTTCAATTTGAAAAGAGAAATGCCAATGCTCATATTTCAAAAGATCTAGCATGGATGAGTTAATTAGTATACAACACCAACAATACTACTACAACAATTACTACAACTAATAATAATACTAAAAATAATAACATCTCTTTTTCATTTTATAAAAGTCTTTCAAATAATTATAGTTCAACATTTGCTTTTCTCTTATAAAACAATGATCAACAGATCAAGATCCCTCTGCACTTCATGTACTGTATAACAGTGGATTAGCGTCCCAATTTACAGTAAAGTCTCACAGTCTATGAGCTTTATGTCTGGATAAACCCAGATGGTACATTTAAACACCCCTTAGCAAATAATGAGAAAATGTGAGAAAATCCTGCTAAATTCTTAAAGATAAGCAGCTATGAGAAACAAGTGAACATCTCTTGGCTTTTATCTCTCCACCCTCTTTCTCGGCTGTATGAGAACTTTCACCCAGAGGAACATCATTCCATTAGTCAGTCACGCTCGTGGCTTTCTCCTTTCCGCTTTCCCGGCTGGAGGGTGTGAACACGGCTTTGCTTCACTCGCTTTCCAATGCATGTATTAAACTACCAAATGTCAAAAATAGCCACTGTCTTTTATATCTGTTTTAGCTCGGTTTCAAGACACTGAGCAAGGAGATTTTAATCTCGGGCCTCATGCTCTGACTACAGCTGCTGAAGTAATGGGAGTTTTTCCAACAGAACGAGTCCCTGAGAATGTGAGAGGACTTCTCTGCTGCAAGCGTTCATAAAACACGCACCACAGCAGTGGATGAGAAATGTATCTGGAAAGACATTAAAAACTAAGTTTTAAAGCACAAAATTTGTTTGTGACCTTCAAATCGTGGAAGCAACCAGTTTGGGTGACAGTCAGCAAGGCAATGAAGACAATTTTAATAATATTTATATAGGATATAAATATGTAAATGCTTCAAGCAAGTCAGAATCTGAAACAAACCATAGAGGTATAACAACATTATTTCTCTGATAAAGTTGAAACATCCCGCTTTCTCATTTTCATGGCCATTTCCCATTAATGAACTTTCTCCGTATCTCTAGAGTGGACAAATCACACATAATTTCCTGAGTAATTACTTGCTTGAGTTCCAGCAAGAGATAACTTGGGACAAAGGAAGTGAAAATTATGCCGTTTGAAATTAAACTGTTTGCCTAAACTCTTTGTCTGAACCGCGCAAGCTATTAACAAAATGAAGGCAGGCAGCACTGAACTCCAAAGAATCCATTACTGCAGAATCAGCTGCTGTTAATTCCACTGCTGAATATTTTTAATTAGAGACTGAAAAAAAGATACTGCTCATCTTCGTTAAGGGACTTAGAAATGTGATTTAATGGAGGTCAGATATATTAGAGACGAGGATAGCTTTATTTGCAACTGCCGTCGGACTTGCTTTTCTGTTTTTCACTCTGACGCTTTTTTTCTTTCTGTGTCTCTTTTTCATTCACGCTCGGTTGAGCTCAGCGCTGTAGAAATGAGGGGGCCAGACGCTTTGGTTTTGGATCAGTGGCGTTTGATCCTTCTCCTCTACGCTGGGACCCTGTCTAACGCCACACTGATTGACATTGTGTAGTTGTACGGTGACCTGTGGGGTGTAGCAGCGCATTCACTATCACGCTCTCTCTCTGTCTCACAAACCCAGACACACATTTTGGTTTATAAATACACACCCAGATAGGGTTAAGTAATACAGCTGAAGTATAAAGACTGTGGTCCTATGCTTTATCAGACATTGCTTTTGTTTGTTGAAGCATCCAGACAGATCCAGACACAGAAACATAAACACAAGCAATGGAGCTTAAGGCAGGACTATCTGTTTGTCCACTCAATGTAAGACAAGGGGGAGTGTTTTCAAAAATACATGTTAAAAACTATTTTTGTTTACAAAACTAACGGTCATAACAATAAAGAGATACAAAAATGAGGAGTGATTTATGTCTATTTATATAAAAACAACATTTATAAATGTATTTTATAAATATAAAGAGATAAAAAAAAAACATTCTTTATAATAAAATGTTTTTTTTTTTAAACATCTATAAAATAATGATTTATCTAGATATATGTTTATAAATCTTTTAATGCTCCAATACTCATAAGCTAGAATGGATTATGAAACTAGTCTGATCACACAGTCTTTAAGAGACTTAAAGGCCAAATTAAAATGAATGTGATCTAATGTGAACAATTACAGTTAAAAACAATATTGTTGGTTTAACTTAAAAAAATAAGTAACCTGGTTGTCTTAAAATTGTTCAAGTTCACTGAAATGGAAAAATTGAGGTAATACAATGAAGGGGATTAATTTAATCACCAGAAACTCAAAATATTATGTTATCTGAACTACATAAATTATCTAAGTTGATTTGACAAAAGATAAAATGTTGAGATTACAAATCATGAAAATATATTTTTTTTTACAGTGCCTGTTATCAAAATATTGACAAAATATTCAACATACAGAATCTTCCAATCCAGGGATCCAAATATTTATATTTGTAGATGCCTTTACCGTTCTGTGCGTTTAGATAATAGCATCATAATGATATAAAGCCAAGCAGAGAGTTGTGAGAAGTGTGTGATTATGATTAACAGCATCATAAAATGACAACCACTGTCCAGCAGCAGTATCAAGTATCAATTCTGTGAGTCAGAGTTGAAATGTTTTGCCACCTAACAGCAAACAGAGGCTTTCCCAGCGGCTCACTGAAATTGCCCCAGACGTCAGTGTCATAAATGAGGACACTCAAGTTTTGTTCCTTAGAAGCCTGAAAGTGTCTGTTTTCACAAAAAAACACTTTTTCCCAGACACTGCAGAAAGTGCATGTATTGTCCGGCCCTGTTCAAAACGCTCTTTGTATCGACAGTCAAGGTACAGTCGTCCGAGATTTAAAGATAAAGGAGTCTGACATGGGAAAGAGATTCCATCAGGAGTGACTGTGGAGTTCCGTTTCCTTTTGTCTCCTGAAGTCAACACTAACAGTTACTTCGTGTGCAATTCACTTCACAGCCACAAACATCAAAACACAGCCATGTCCTCAAACATACTGCATCTCATTTTGAATAACTGTTATTTTCCTGTTAAATATTAATATTGCACATCGTGACTATAGAGCTGAGGACAGCAGACAAGCTTTGATGTGTCTCTGCTAAATTGCCTATTACAGACCGCTAGCACTTATTCAGCTGTGACGTCTGTGTGTGTTCATGTTTAAGCAGGTTGTGAGGAGATTACTAATGAGCAGGATATCCCTGTAAACTTCATTAGGATGACTTTGACACGCTTGAACATGTCATAGTTGCTCTGGGGTGATCATTACCATCAATCTCCATAAGGGAGCGAAAACATATCACATGACCTTAAACTCCACACATTTAATTATAATTGCACACACTCACAGGACATATTTATTAGCTTTATTTCAATACATTCTAATATCAAGTGAGAAGAACCATATGGAGCTTTTAAGTACCATTTTGTAAAGTCTTGTAAATCCCTGATATCTGCTTAAACATTCACTGCTGCCAATAACTTATAATTGATTGTTAATTGCAAAATAACCATACTCACATATTCATTAACAGATGTGGTGAAATTTGTTTTATATCAAAAAAGGAATTGGTAGATGTGTTGCTTCACCATCTAAAACTTCCTATGGAAGAAAATGGCATGAATAGGATTTGTATCTTAGCCTGGTAATACCAAACTCTGCTACTTTGCTTTGCTTAAACAGAGTATGGAAAGGCATAATTGTGTTTTCTTTCTCGCAGGGGGGCGCTTGTCTGAAGTATAAAATCATTGGTTACCCGTAAGCCAATCACATAATGCAATCTCACCACTCTCTCTCCAACTTAAACATCACCTCCATTCAAAATGTTTAGCAAACACTCTTCTTGAATATTCTCCACAACAGAGCGAATTGCATCCCGTGTCTCCATATCTGCGGTCGTTTTCGATTTCCCTAACCTAAAATACAATCTTAAACTCTGCGCTTAGTGTCACGGCTCTCAGCCCGCCCTCTGCTCGTTGATTGGCTGACTGTTTTTAGGTCGGAGGAAAACTGAGAGATAGGTCTCTATCTTAGACTGAGTACAGAAGTGAACTGAAATTGAGAGGAAGTACGAAGTCTGACGTAGACAGGGTATTTGTTTCTAGTGATAATGGAGATCTTTAGGGTGTCGTAAAGTGTGTATGGTCCTCTTACCTTTTTCTTGTTGGTGGGACAAATGTAGAAGTTTGTGACTATGATGGTTGTGCCTGGCATCAGGTTGAGCTTGGTGTAGGTTGACCCATAATCACTGGATCTGCATGAAAGAAAGAGAACGAGAGAGAAATGTCATCTTCTTCCGTTTAATTATTACAGTGAGTCACACACGGAAAGATGTGACAGGATATAATACAGATCTAATACAATTCTCAGATTATTAGATTTATTCTTAGAGCTGAGAGGCGACATTAACATATGACTCAGTGTGTATTGTCATGTCTATTTCTGACATTCTAACAGAATATTTTCAGCAAAATAAAACGTATACACATTCTGTACCTTGTACATACACTGGAATTGCTTTGAACTGCTATAGATTAAATGTTAAATGAACATTCATATGTCTTTTCAACCTCAAATCTGTGCTGAGATCCCATAAATATGTAAACACAACACAACACCGGGGTTCAAAATATTCACAGCAAGCTCAAAAAAATGACAATTTTCAGAATAGACTGTTTTTGGGCCCTGATTGCTAAAGTGATCTCATGAGGATGTTGACTGTTTTTGACTGAATTGGAGTCAGCAAAAGCAGTCAGCAATAAATAAATAAAAAATAAAAGTAACTTCACAACTCTGCAAATCAGCTGCTTTGGGAAAGATGGTAGTGCAGTTCTGGCATTTACAAACTCACAAGAAGAGAACAATGCTTTTTGAGCAGCCCTTCTTTTCCATTGTGTTTTAGAAGTACTGTGTACAGCTAATTAAATGTCTGCTATTATATGACATGACAGAAAGAGACAAACAGATAAACACACTCAAACTAAATTAAAACAATATCAACCTTTAAAAAGAAATCAACATGGCTGGGTAACACTTTACAATAAGGTTCGTTAGTTAACATTAGTTAACTACATTAGTTAATATGAACTAATAATGAATAGCACATATACAGCATTTGTTAATCTTTGTTAATGTTATTTTCAACATTAACTAATACTTGATTAAAATCTTGTTAACATTAGTTAATGCACCGTGAACTAACATGAACAAACAATGAACAGCTGGATTTTCATGAACTAACATTAACAAAGATGAACAAATGCAGTAACAAATGTATTGCTCATGGTAAGTGCATGTTAGTAAATACATTAAAGGGTTAGTTCACCCAAAAATCATTAATCACTCACCCCCATGCTGTACCAACCCCGTACGACCTTCGTTCGTCTTCGGAACACAAATGAAGATATTTTTGATTAAATTTGAGAGCTGTATAACTACCACATTGGCTCCTAAGGGACTGCCTCTTGATGGCCCAGAAAGTCAATGAAGAAAATGTTTAAATATCCCAAGTGACTACCGTGGCTCAACTATATGTTTATCAACCGACGAGAATACTTTTTGTGCGAAAAAACAAACAAAAATAACGAGTTTATTCGACTATTCCTTTTCTTCCTTGTAGGCCAGAAACGAGACTTCCTTAGATTTCCACGACGCATGCGCGAGAATTGCGATCTGCTTACACTACTTCAGATCAGTTCTCGCGCATGCGTCGTGGAAATCTAAGGAAGTCTCGTTTCTGGCCTACAAGGAAGAAAAGGAATAGTCGAATAAACTGGTTATTTTTGTTTGTTTTTTCGCACAAAAAGTATTCTCGTCGCTTGATAAACATATAGTTGAGCCACGGTAGTCACTTGGGATATTTAAACATTTTCTTCATTGACTTTCTGGGCCGTCAAGAGGCAGTCCCTTAGGCAGCCAATGTGGTAGTTATACAGCTCTCAAATTTAATCAAAAATATCTTCATTTGTGTTCCGAAGACGAACGAAGGTCTTACGGGGTTGGTACAGCATGGGGGTGAGTAATTAATGACTTAATTTTCATTTTGGGGTGAACTAACCCTTTAACTAATGTTAACTAATGAACCTTATTGTAAAGTGTTACCCATGGCTGCTTAATTTGATTCGGACCACAACAGCAGATAATGTTTCAAGTGTGGCAGGTAATGTGAGGTATATAGTCAGAGACTGGTGTTAGCTTGTGGAGAAACTATTTGAATTGCTGTAGAAATGAGGAATGACAAGGCAGAATCACAGGTGTGGAAATATTTGCAAAAATCAATCAGGCAGAGAGCTGTGGCCTAAACCAGCCCGGCACTGTCAGAACAAATCATTCTCACACAACACTGTTACATGAACTGCACGTAAGAACAAGGTCAAGGTCACAGGGTTACATTTAAAGTGGCTGTCAACTTTCTTTTAACTCAAAACGATACATCCACACACTGTGAACCTCTCAGTCAGGCTGAGGGAAAGCATACTGCAGCTGGCAGCAGATAGAGTGTGCAAAATGCCTGATCAAAGACTATTGCTCAACACAAACATACAGTGCTAAAGACTTCCCCCATAGAACTAATTAAAAAACAGAAGTGAACAGAATTTTTCTCTGGAGCTCATGCTGAGCTCACATTTTTTGTTCCTTGCTTGACAGAACAGAGCAGAACAGAGGTGTTTCAGCTCGTGAGGTTTAAATGAAAGCGGGAGGGAAGGCTGGGCAGGGTGGGGGAGGTGATCATTATGCCAGGAGCCATGTTTCCAAGACATCACACACAAGTATCATGGCAGGATGAGGAGCTAGAAAGGTCTGAGGAATAGCATACTAAAAACGGTAATACTTTACAATAAGGTTTATTTATTAAACATTAGTTAATGTATTAACTAACATGAACTATGAGCAATACATTTTTTATTGTTTTTATTCATCTTTGTTACCGTTAGTTAATACAAATCCAGATGTTCATTGTTTGTTCATGTTAGTTCACACAGTGCATTAACTAATGTCAAGATTTTAATGAAGTATTTATAAATGTTGAAATTAAAGGGTTAGTTCACCCAAAACTGAAAATTAAGTCATTAATTACTCACCCCCATGCTGTACCAACCCCGTAAGACCTTCGTTCGTCTTCGGAACACAAATAAAGATATTTTTGGTTAAATTTGAGAGCTGTATAACTACCACATTGGCTCCTAAGGGACTGCCTCTTGAAGGCCCAGAAAGTCAATGAAGAAAATGTTTAATGAAGAAAATGTGGTAGTTATACAGCTCTCAAATTTAACCAAAAATATCTTTATTTGTGTTCCGAAGACGAACGAAGGTCTTACGGGGTTGGTACAACTAACCCTTTAACATTAACAATGATTAAAAAATGCTGTAGAAGTATAGTTCATGTTAACTAATGTAGTTAACTAATGAACCTTATTGTAAAGTGTTACCCTAAAAACAGTATATCTATACTATAAGCACAATGACTGAACATGGCGGGTTGTGCTTTGCAAAGATCACATTTTAAACAACAAAACTATTTTTTTATGTTTTCTTTTCATTTTTATGAGCAAAGCAGCATGTCAATATGTGAATAATGTGCTTGTTAACCAATCCACAATCATAAAAATAGACCATCATTACATAGTGTTAAGGCCACTGGGGTTATCCAAACTTCCTAAAATCTGCTAAAATTATTATCATAATTTAAATTCAAGACTGATTATTACCAAACGTCCTCAAAATTGAATTTGTTTACCAAAAAAGCCATGATTATTTAAAATCAGAATTAAATTCATAATACATGCCATTCTTTCAGAAGAGTTGAGTCTGTTAATTAGAATACACAATCAATCAGACAATGACGGTGTTCAGCGTCTCCAAAGTTGAGTCAAACCCGGCAGAGGTCATCAGCGGAGTTGGTGGAGCGAGTGCAAGAAACAGCCAACTCATTAAGTAAATCCTCTCGTGGAGAGTAAAATGTCAGAGGCCTCAGAGGAACATTATGTAACTAATAAAGCTAATTTGGAGGATTGTGTGGCACGCTGCGCTTCGGTTGCCAAACGTTTCGCTAATGATGCTAACTTAATCGGATGGCTCATTTAATGCTACTGATTAGCTGAGTACTAATGCCACTGGTGATGAAGGAGTGTGGATAATAAAGATGGGAAGAAGAGATGGAGAATGAGAACAGGGGCAATAATAATACCATTTAAATATAGATATAGATATATATATATTAGTTTATATACATTTTTTTTACCGCAATTAATCGTATGAGTTCCTTGCGATTAAAGGTTGTATCAGTGATTTCAGGCCCAAACAAAAATGATCACATTCATCTTTCCTAACTATCCGCTAGCTGCCCGCCCCATAAGCAGGCTGTCAAAAAAACACGTCTCTGTAGGCAGCGTAGGCTCTGAGATCTGCACATTAAAAACAAATGGGAACAACCACCACTCAAAATCAAAATATACAGTGTTCTAACCAATTGCCGACAGAGGGGGGTGTTTTTTGTTTTGTTTTTTGGGCTCGTTCACGGCATCTGAGAAGAGGAGGAGGATTAGGCCGAGGGAATACCGTCGTTTTTTGTCAAAGAAACTAATAATAATAATCGGGAAGGCTTTTGAACGGTGGAGAGAACTCAAAGAATTGAAAATGTTTAAATTGGATGTCGAGGTTGCACTGTTTCTTCTGGACAGGTGAGTAGATTTAGTGCTGACTTTTTTGTATGTGATCTGTGTGTGAAAATATAATTCTTTAAAAAAATATGAGTGAAACTCGATTAAACTTGGATAGCTCTAGCGATAGCGAATATCAGATTGTAGGTATTTAGTGTGCGAGTTGTATCTACTTGTAGCCATAACATTGTAGCCTTCTATTAGCAATAACACTAATGTTCAGGACTAGCTTTAGCCGAATAATAATAAGCTGTTATAATATTATTCCAGATAGCTGTTGTTACCATGAGTTTTCCCCATAATGTTATATCTGTAGTTACTGTATATGACTGATTCTGGTACGTTTTATCATACCGCTGGTTCCAGTGAAGCACCAGAAAAACTAGCTGTATGATATGACATGGCTCGACTGCAGATTTTATATACATCATTATACTTTGTAATCCAAAGCAGCCAAGTTAATATTTTAGAGTTCACAGAATGACCCATCATTGAGACCGTCAATCTGAAAATAGCGTGTTTTTGTCGCTTTCAGAAATGCGCGTGTAATATGATCGTTTTTTTCGTGATGCACGAAATGGGAGGGAGGGGCGAG